TTGTGGTGGTTGTTTACTGATATCCCGGAACCCTTGTCACTTTCATTCGAAAAGGATGGAAAAGGAAGCTGATGCTTTGAGGGGATCTTACTGTGACCCAGATCTTTACCTCAAGAGGCCACGCTCCCGGAGCCCACCGGGCCGGTCACCGGGCCGAGCCGAAGTCGCCGAACTGCCGGTTACGTCGAGTGGTTTTGGATCGTCATGCAACACAGGGAGCAAGGCAGCGGCTCCACTGAGTTCCTTTCAGCCTATACATGTAGTTCCCACCTAAGAGAACTGTGCCAAGCAGTGCTGCAGATGCAGTACGCGGTCGGATAGACGATCGTTGCACCAAGTGACAGAAGATCTTGGAACATCCAACGCTCAAATACACTCAACACATTCTCAAAGGTTTTCACATACATTCCCACAGGGGGCATTCCTTCATATTCCTTCACACGCCAGTGTTGGACAAGAGTAGCATGTGTTGGTGTCTTTCTTCCACCACCTCCCCTCCTGTTTATGGATGTAAAGCGTTCTCTTGTCCTTTCTTGTCCGTCCTTGATTCTGCAGTCACTGAGTTGCGAAACCATCTGTTTTTCGACCTCCCCCCCAACCTCAAATAGATCCTACGTTCGGATGACACGGGATTTAGAAAACAGACATGGGAACTCACACATTCCCAAGTCGTTTGCCTTATGTCACTTGACGCCTTAACTCCCATGTGATCTGCACCCAGTGTAGATAGAAAATACATAGAACAAGAGTAGATCCTAGCCTAGGGACTGGGCCCGCATGCCAGTCGGGTGCCGAGGTTCGGGACGACCGGATCCCTTGGACCACGTCGCGGCCCGCGCCGTGTCGGTTCTCTCCGCAGCTCGTGCAGGTGAATGGCACCCGGGCGCCTGGGCGGCAGCTCGTCTCGAAAGCCTGTGCCTTTGGGCAGCCCGGAGCCCCAGCTGGAGCCGCCCGGAGCTGGAGATGGGAAGAGACCACGGGACTCATGGACTTTGGTAGAAGTCCCTGAAACAAGGAATAGACCATGTTTGGTTGGTAGGGGGGAGAGATGGGGAGAGAGTATTCCAGGAGGCTGTGGTTCACTTCCATCATTGGAGGGAGGGTAGAAGTTTTGGGAATGTGACCCAAACATACCCAAGCACCCTTCTGCAATATTATGGAATATTGCCTATTATATTGATGTAGATTGGGGTGGTTTCAAAGGTCAATGTAGGCATATGTACATATATTTACTATGCATGGAGTGCCTTGGTTTATGGAAGACTCTCTGACTTTTGGACACTGAATTAGACACTCTGACCGTCCTATGGAAGGCAACTTGCCTGTAGAAACCAGCGTGCATGAGCGGAGGGCTTCCAGTCTAAACATATGTGTAACACATTCTAAAATCCACTCTTTGGGTGATGCACCACCTCAAATAGATGGCCCTGACTCACCGTTCGCTCTTCGGCTGGCTGTCCATGCGTCCGTCGATGGTTGCCTTCCGGATCCGATCAGGCACACCGAAGCCTTCCAGTGGGTACACTGCTCGATGTCCTGAACAGGTTTACATCCAAGACATGCGAAAACTGCATCTGTTGCCTTCTTTTTGGTCCACTCAATGTCAGTTAATCAGAAGAAAGGCGACTAGAGCTGGCGACTGCAGGTGCCATCAACAGGACACTAATTACTGAAACAGCGACGGTACATATTCTACTTTGAACCGTGTCGTGGCACAACGACATGCCATAATTATATAATTACAATCATATAATGAATCATATATTATATATATACACAACGACATCAACGACATGGTATAATCACATACAATCATATATATATCTATATACAGTTTGTGGATCGATGTTTCATCATCTTCATCGTGACATGTGCCGCCCTGAACACAACCGTCTTGATCCGAATCGGATCCGGGCGCGTTCGCGTCGTCGATCCGCCCCGAAGCCGCGGGAGGCTACGACTGACCTTTGAGCGGCCGAGAAGCTTCGAGGCGATGGAGATAAGAGGAGTTGGCCCGAAAAGCCACACCCTCCAGAGTCACATGATCTAAAAAGCGGGTTGCATAACCCCTAGAAGTCCAAAGACTATATTTTGACCGGCTGAAGTAAAGGAACTTCCCTTTCAGGTCCCCTAAAGACAATATTTTAAATAGTCTTTGACTCCCAGGGTACTCGTAATGTGAACATCTGTGAACAACATCCTCCGGGAGTCCCTTGTCCCATTTGGCCAATGTGTCCCTAAGATCTTCCCAGAATGGACACTTGGTGACACCCGTTTCTTACGAGCGGTGGCCGACCTCAAATAGCATGAAAGATCAGGAAAGTTAAAAGATTGCCAAAATTTAGCACACCCTTCTCGCTCAAGAGGCAACGCATTTTTGATCGTTTTTGCATGCGTGCGGGTGCTACAACTTAAGAACATCAATTGCCAATGGCAACAAGTCACCTCATCAACAGTGTGAGTACTTCCAAGAAAGTGAAGTCTCTAGTTCACTCCAAGCCGGTGGCCCAGTGGCCTTGGTCTACCCGAATAAACTGGCTGAGATGTCTTTCAGGGCTCGTCACCGATGCACAGACCCCTCGCCCAGGTCCGCACGCGCAAGACGCACACCTGGGGGCTTGACATCACGGCGCGAGGGAGGAGGGATCGGTGGCCACTACGGGCGGAGGATCACGGCAGGGAAGGCCAGGGAGGGAGGGAAAGGTAAGGCAGGGAGGTAGGTTTCAGAGGCCAGATGTCTGTGACATCTCAGGAGGTTTCAGCTTTCGCAGGCCAGATGGTTTCAGAGGTTTGATGTTTTTGTGGCTCATGACATACATAGGTTATCATAGGTTCGTTTGTGATGTCTTTTGGGTCGAAACCTGGGGTTACTTGATCGAAGTCACCTCTCTTGAGGGATGCCAGCCTGCCAGCCTGCTGAAACCACAAGTACCTGGGACCTTTCATAGAAGCTGGTAGTAGAAGCTGAGAGCAAGAACAGAGAAGCAAGACATCTCAGCAACTGCAAAGAACTCACTACAAGAACATCTCAGACGGAGATGTAACACCATTCTGGACAGGATTTTTTTCATCAACAATCAACAGCCTACGTTAGTTATATAGTGTTTGGAGAGGATACTTTTTCATGTTTTTTGTCAAGATGATGTGCACAGCCGCAGATGCACAAGAACCACCGTTGACACTTGACACGGAAATGTTGGCCGACTGACATGAACATTAGGCACCAGCAGCAACAAGAACCTGCTGCAGCCCGTCTAAGCTGCTCTGGGCAAGCCCCTCTTATTCGCGTATTTTCCCGTCCCTGCCCGGGATTTACCAGCCAGAGTTGGCGTTGGACGATTGTGTGGAGGAAAGAAGTGCACTTGCTCCAAACTCCTGTGATGCTTCACTTCTTTGGGGCAGACACTATATGAGATTCATAAGCTTTGATCCACTGGTGTGAGGTTGGACGTCATAATGTTTCCAGACCTCCTCACTTGCATTCACTTGCTTTTTTCACTTCCTGCCTTCAGGTGGGTGATGGATGCCTGCGTGTGGTTGCAATCAAGGAGACCTTGAAACCACTTCGGCAAACAGCACCTGAAGTGGGCCAGATCGCACCACTTGAACTCCTGCCTTGGCCAGTGGAAGCAGGGCAACACCGTCGGCTGATGTTTCATCCAGATCCATCGTTCATCGCGTACTCGCGACGCACGCGCTAGGAGGGGCCTATCCAGGTGCCGTGTCGTATGTGAGCAGGGCGGGCAAGGGAGGGGGTACTGTCGAACAAATCGGGAGTCTCCTTCTGTAGCATGTGCTGTCGCTCAGACCTCAACTCGTGACCTCATCTTGCAAGTGCAGTTGTTAGTCGATTCAGGATCGTGCACATAGCTCAAAATTTGGACCTTGTTCTTTATGGAAAATTCACAACTCACCCGGAGGAGGAACTGGAGAGTCTCAGGAATTGATGGTTCGAGACTTCCACTAGTGGTTGACTCAGCCTGTTTGTGTTCGGAGGTCAGTCGCCCGTCGACCAGTTCGCTGATGAGAGACATGACTTTGCAAAATACATTTTTATACATTGTTACAACTTCAAGTGGCTATGGGTAAAAGCCGGCTGAGCCATCCACGAACAGAATGGACTAGCTTGGAGGTCAACCAACCAGGGTTTTGAAGCTCCGGTTTTTGACCCACACCCAAATATATAGGTTCCTGAAACCAAGGGCTGGGTTTTTGGCTCAGTCACACCCATGTGTTTGTTGCTCAATCTGTAGGCCCCGGGTTGGGGGACAGGGTGGTCCAAGGATGTCCAAGGGTGTTTCTGAACCGGTGCAAATTCTATAGACATATAATAAAAGAAGAAGGGCAGTGACGGATCCAGTGACGGGTTACATACTTTCTAGTTTTCCTAGATTTCATACAATCACACTCAGGTATGATGATCAGCACCCTTGACACAGAACATGTCACACAACGTTTGTCCATGTCTTTGCCACGCCAGGAGTGGAATCAGGATAATCCAGATCACGCCATCCAATGCGGGGACCGAATTGTGGCCAGGGGCCCTTGGAGATTTTGGGGGGCGTACTTGGAGATAGGCACAGGCAACTGCCCTGCGGTGGCACCGCCTGGTCCTCAAGGAATCCCTACAGTGTCAGTTGGTCCTCAAAATTGCTGGAGTTGGTTAGTAATGCAAAAGCACTACTCGGTCTGAGGTTTTCAGAACCAGGGCCATGGACCTGGGTCGGAAGAATTGACTGACCTCCAAGGTCGAAAAAATCATCACAGGGATCTATGCCGGGTGTGTCCCGTGACCTGTAATTAACAGTCGATAAGCAATTTATGATCACATATGATCACTATCCAGCACCGCCCAGTTTGGGCGGTTTATAGACCCCCCCCGGCCCCCACCCCGAAGATGTATTGTCTATCCAATAACATCCAATAACCACCCCAACTGGGTGGTGCTGGATCAAGGCACTAATGACTAACCATCATCCACTTACTTACTGGCAAGAGTATCAGCCCAACTGATCTGGAGTGTCTGTATCAGGATATGCCCTGGCAGTTTATCTCGTTTTGAGATGTCGGCCTGCAACCTAAGCATCATCCACTGGGCCGATCTGTGTGTCATCTAGGTTGGCACTCCACTCCAGCGTCTCACTCCAGGTCGCAGAACTCGTTCTGACTCGGGTGAGTTCCGGAGGGTTGGACCATACAAGGGTTGTATCGGACAGGTTGGCCATGCTTGAGCGAGAGATGTGAAAGAGAAACCAAGCTTCGAAGCCAGGGTTGAGCATCCAACCAATGCTGAAATGTGACTCATTTTGCAGTTGTCCCACCTTCCTGTTTCATCTATGCCGATCAGTTGGGGTGGTTTTGGAGGTCAATGTGGGGATATATGGCATACAGCGGCATACATGGAGTGTTTGGGTAAAAGCCACACTGCTGGGGCCAGGAATTGAATCCAAAACGGGCGACGCTGGGTGAAGCTCTTCTGGAGTCGACGTCCAACACGCTGGGCCAAGGCAGTCTCCCCAGTGGAAGAGGAGGCTCCAAAGGCGCGTGGGGGAACCCCACCACGCAGCGCCTCCAGACTTTAGACATCTCTAGACCTTTTGATTATTATTGATCCATTACGTAGACTTGCCAGGCGTTTCAGCGGTGTGCTTCCACCTTTGTGCATTTGTTCGTTGGGTGATTGCGTGTGCCTTATGTAAACATTTGCCACCGTTACCACCATGACCTTGCCCGGAATTCATGCTCACTTCAGGGGAGTTTGCATCAACCACAGCGCAGAAAAGAAATACAGCAACTTGGGAGGAATTTGGAACAAGTGAGCGTGTGAAGAAACACCATGACAAGATGTTTGAGCTGCATCACTAGCCTCAAAACTCCTGTTTGAAATGCCAGAAGAAGCCCCGGTGGTTCAACGGTCTTTGTTTGAGGGGATAGGCTGAAGAACCTTTGAGTTGCTTGTTGTGTAGAGGGTCAAAGTGAGCAACAACATACCAGGGGAGTCTCATGCCAACGCTGAACCAAAGGGATTTTGGTACAAAGCGTTCATTACCAGTATGGAATAGCTCAAGCATCACTTTGCTCATCTTTGCTCATAATATGAAGTGTTGAATGACATGGTCCTCGCTTTCAATATCAAGGCCTCTCCCTCGATGGATCTGTGATTCCGTCAGCGGACATCGCAAGGCCTTGGATTTGCTGCAGACCCTGCAGCATCATCCGGGTGAGGCGTGGCTGGCTGGACATCGCCCACACCGGGTGTGCTTGCGTCTTGCGTCGCGCGTGCCGACGCATCTGGCCAGGTGACTTTGAGAATCATGTCCTGGAGCAAGGAGGATGAGTGAGCTCGGTGCGAGGAGGCCTGGTTCCATCCTTAACCCCCCAAAAGTTGCTGAGAAAGTGCATGATGTGAATGGCAGATGGTACGGACGCCCTCTGAGGTGTTGTAACTAACATACGATCGGAAGGCCGGAAGGCCGTGGATCATAGCTGCAGACCATCCGAAAAATGGGAGTGACACTGGCATATTGCCCAGACGTTCCATTTATGGCAATGTATATGTACCTGCCCTGAAACCAACCCAATGCGCCACTCACTCCCATCTCACGGTTCTTTGCGACGGTGGTGCCCCCGCTAAAGGCGGTAGTGCATCGACGGTGTCACCGATAGGAGAGCCGAACGCAGGAGAGGCGGAGGAGAAACACAAGTCCTGCGGAATCCTCCAAACAGGCTCAGACCCCAGACATTCGCGAACCCCTTCTCAGCAAAAGCACGCGTAACAAACTTCACATGCCAACCAAGACAGCATATGCTTGACTCTGTGGCAAGGACCTATCTCGCGGTTTGGTGGGTTCGTGTCACGGTCAATACCTGCAAGTGTTCTATTCCCGGTGGGATTCCTGCCCCACCATTAATTTCATAGGCCGAATCCCGAACAACCATTATTTTACCTGGATTCTTAGAGATATATACCTGGCATCATGTGGCCTTGCACCCAAGATTGGTCGAACCGAGATGTGAACAGCGAAGAGATCAAGACGGGAAAGGGGGTATTGTTTTCGTGTGTGGCATTGGGAGGGCTAGATCAACAAATACGGGCTCCGTTTTCATCTTTGAAGCTCTGGAGACTGAAGACTAGCTTCACCATGATAAATCAAAGTGTCAAATCTGACACACATAATCGATCCCTAGGGATCCAGTCGTACCTTCTCAGAAGGTGAGACTGGAGTGGGATTGGAGGGTCCAAGTGCCTTCTGAGAAGGTACGACTGGATCCCGAGGGGATTAATAAGACATAGTTAATACACCAGGACCTTCAAAGCGACCGCCCTTGAGATCCTAGTGGCTGACTGAGGTCACGTATATAGTCTCTAAAGAGGTCACAAACAGAGACGAACAGTCAGAGGTCACGTACTGAAGGTCCAGGTATAGGCAGGATACAGTAGGCTAATAGGGCATGATAGAGCCGATGTCCAAGATTTCTTTCACACGCCTTTTTCAAGGTTCATTGGATTTGTGACTTCAGCACCACGTCCTCACCTGGGATGAACATTTCACCACCCTCACCTGTGCTGTTGGTTCTTTTTGGTGTTTCTCTTCTTCCAGGTCCTCAACGAGCATCATGAGCCTCAGGGTTTTAGAACCAACCCATCATAACCCATCCAACCCTGAGACGTCCATCTCGACTCCGAAAGATGTTGTGATGACCCTAAGTCCCTGGGTTTTGGTGATGAACTCACGGGATTGTCTCGTTCCTTGGGAATCCGAACGTGCCCGAACCCATTTCATCCGGGCCCGGTTCGCAAACGCTATGTGTGGGTTCAGGCCCAGATTCTCAGGGGTAGAGTGCAGTGGACTCAGAGGTTCGATGGCACAGACCTCAAGATGTTAAGAACATGGGAGTTCATAAAGACCACCTCTTAAGGTCTGTGCCATTTAATTACTCTGACGCCACTATACATCCTTGAACCCATCCCTTGGCATTTGGCACTTCCCTGCCCACCGGCACCGACCGCCCATCTCGCGACCTCGGCTCGCTCGCGGCACTGCGTAGCACTGTGTGGAGTGGGCCAGCACCCAAATCACGAAGCCAGGACTCGAAGAGCCACGAGGAGCGAAGGATTTGGTCAGTGATGCTGTAGTAGATTCAACATATCGTGGATTTGTGGGGTGTGCTCCAAAAAATCCAGTGCCCAGAGACAAGAGGTCTTTGGGTTTGCAAGTGCCGCCATGGGGCAAACTTGCTGTGGTGGTACTCATGGGCCGCTTTGGATGAAGCTGGTGTGCGTTGAGGGTGGACATTGGCATTGGGCGGAGAAAATATTTGGTTCAATGAGTATGAATGGCATGATGTCTCAATATATGGAGCTTTATATGAAACATTATGGAACTACAACCGTGCCACACAAAAAGGGCGAAAGGGTCTTCCAAGTAGCCAGGAGACTTCACGTCCATCTTTTTTCGGTTTTCCACTTCGGCCGAGGCCCCGGCACGACCCTTCCCCCCTCGCGTTTGGGCGCGAAGGACGCTGGAGGAACGACCTCCCCCAGGGCGGCGACGCTTGTGGCGCCACTGAGGAATGGACTGAGCAATGAGGAGTTCATCTATCAAATGGGCAGCGTGGTGGCCGACCCCGCCCTCGCAGGCCTGGTTTACTGGGTCGCGAGTGAACTCACGTCGACCATGGCGAGCACGGACAGGTGTGGGGCTGGGGTTTGGGAGGGTTTGGGGTCGGTTTTGGTATGGTGTTGGCTGAGTGTGTTGGCTGAACGATCCTCCTTGGTCATTGATGTTAAATGGCACCTGTTGGCACCTTTGACCGGTACCAAGCTTGCACTTCTTCGCTTCTTCAAAGAAGCCGGACCTGTTGCCCGTTGCCCCGCAACGAAGCAAGATTAATGTCACATTTTCAAGGCCCCTTCCAGAAAACAGACTCTTCATGGGACTGGCATGTTTGCGGGTTCTTTTTTTTGGACCTTGGAATGGGGCCACTGTACATCTTCCATCGGTAGCATGTCCAGCCTTGGAACGCCTGAACGCTGCGGAACGCGGTGGCCTTCCAGGCGTAGTGGCCGGCCTCACGAAGCTGGCAGAGGTGTGGAGGGGGTGGTGGTGGTTACAGAGCCCTGGAATGGGTGCTTAGTGAAGTGGCCTTAGCAGGTTGCAGAACTAGAGTCTCAGAGCTGGAAGACAGAGCTAGGAGGTTGCACCACCACTCCCCCCCTCGAGCTTTGATAGTTTGATGCGCATGTCGTGGCGTTCTCTCAGGATCACCCGTATTTGAAGCCGACAGGAACAGAAGCTCGGCTTTGGAGGGGTCCAGGTGCTTGGTTGAAGGGTCTCACTATGTCTCACTCTTCAAAGAAGCCTGCACCAATAAGAGAGCTTCTTCGGATATGATATTTCCGAGATTGAATGAGCTGAGCCTTTGATTTAGTTTTTTAATTGATTCATTAGCAGGGCTTGGTGCTTGGCGTCCGCAACGTTAAAGCGCGATTGGATCAGCAGAACGACGAGTAGCAATACACTTGTGTCTCCCACTAGGGAGTACTGGGGCAAAGCCTATGGATGCCCTGGACAACAGGAATGGCAGCCCATGACGATCGCCGTCCCGACCCTGAGGGGTTCGCCTCTATTGCAACCCGACAAAATATACTGTAGAAAGACAAAGAACGACACATCCACCAAAAAACATGTATTGGACCGTGTTTCCGTAACATTTTGCGGGTCTATATATGAAGGCAGCCGATTAGAAGCGTAACTCCGAAGTCTCCTTCCTGTTCACGCCTCGTGATTGATGATCACTGGTGTTTCAGTACTTTAAATAGAATGTTAACATAGATATCTCTTTTAAAAGTAGACTATGTTTTGGCACCGCTGGAATTTGTTTTGGCACCACTCTCCAAAACCATGAGTTTCAACCCTCAAACTCCCTCTCACAGACTGCCAGCACATGCAAAAAGACCTACCACTGTGAGAAGGATAACACGCAAATAACGCTGGAAAAACGTACCCCGCGGGCGGCCGCTGGAGAGTTGAGGAATATGCTCCCCATCCACTACTTTACTGGGTCCGGCGCTGCAGGGAATTTGCGCCACTTGGATCTGCTTGTAAAGCAGAGCCGACCGGAAGCCGAAGGGATGAGACGGAGTGTTTGACGAAGATCCAGGAGAAAATAAACCAAAAAGCATGTTCCTTTGAAAAGTAGCTGTTTTGGGGTTCTACATTTCATGATTCTTGGGGGTGTATTTTGTTTTCAGTGATATAATAGATGCCAGGAGAAGGACCAAAAAGAAAGCGGGTCTTCGAGCCCTTATGGGCCCTTTCTTCTACACGCACAGCGCTGCGCTGCATCTTCCAGTTTGAAGTGTTCCTCCTGAACTCAGGGACTCGATGCTGACGACCCCATCACTCAGATCGATGGACTCGGTCCGACCCGGAGGAGCGGAGCTCGCCAGTCGTCATCTACTCTCCCAGTCCGAGGACGGTGGACCACCCCAGTGCTTGTAGGAACGGTGACCTTCCTTTGAGATCACTCTTTTAGAAACTGGGTGTTTTCACTTCTCCGGATGTGCTTCACCGAAACGGAGCAGGGAAGACGAGACAAACGACGATCCGTTTCACGGAGGTTTGAGGCGATGCTTCGGAGGCGATGCTTCCCCAAAGTGGACGTGCAGTTCCATCACCCAGACACTCCATGGGACTGCCATAGGACTGCCGAGAAACGGCCTGGGGTGGTTTGAGGGATCAATGTATAGGCATATATGGCAGTCCCATGGAGTGTCTGGGTCATGAAGATTCATGGAGGGGGGTTCATTCACCCTCCAGGCTCCAACCCTTGGCGCTGTGCCAGA